AGTAGAAACTGTTCCAGCTCCTGGCTGACGTTTATATACTCACTGGACTTAGGGTGGAAGGTCAAGAAGTAATCAATTTTAATTCTAGCAAATTATACAAGATTCTCCCAGTAACTGTGAGGAAATGTAGGATTATATGAGATGGCAGACCATAAAGGCTTCAATCAAGCCAGGAATCTCAAATAAACATATCAAGGAAATACATTGAGCTAGACCATAAGAAAAGTAGCCTAATTAGTTTAGGGTTTCAAGCATAGATGTAAATGTACTAATTCGTTTGATAACTTCCTTAACAATGAACCACCAAGAGACTTTAAAATCAAACTAAAAATTAAAACAGGTGCCCTGATATTCAGAATTAGTATCTCACCCAAAGACACTACAAACAACAAAGCCCACCAAAATTGTCTGAACCTTCTGCAAGTACTGGAGATAATCATGATCTGCATGAAATGGTCTCTCTTATACGTGGTGCCACTCATCCAGACTCAGTGTAACTGTTTAACTTGAAATTTATATTCTCTGCATAAATTATTCTTTTGTAGATATACCCACATAAACAGAAACTGTCAAAGGCTTCCATTCTGCAGTCCAAAAAAGCAGTGTATGGAATTGGTTTGATGAAGTATGGTAAAAGGAGTCTAAAGAATGCAGTTGAAAGTTTCCCAAAAACCCAATGTTCCTGACAAACAAAGTTTAAACTGGGCAGCCTTTTTGGTGATGGAGGTAATGATTATGAAGAAGCAACAGAAGTAGAGTAGACCTTAAGAATCTGCCAATCTACTAGTGTTCCTAAGTGCTTTCCTGAAAGCAGTCATCTAGGCTAAAACAAAGGGATGCCAACAGATACTGTATGTACTGCAGGAAAGAAAGTGTATCTAATTTCTCTTCGAGATGAATTTAAGGCATGTTAGGTATAGTTACACTGTTTCATCTTGCCAATGCTACTTTAATCGGGAAATCACTTAAAGTGGAATTCCAAACCCCCCCCCCCCCATATAAAGCTATTCTATCTAAAGAAAAGAAAAGATCACTATACTTACCTATAACTAAGCCGCTCGGGTCTGGTCTTCAGCAGTGGCTTCTGTGCAGGAGAGAAAAAAATTACAAAATCTGGGAAATGTCTAGGGGATGAGATCACCCATAGACTTACTATGGGGTATCCATTTTTGGCTGCCTCTCCTGCTTACAGAAGCCACCATTGAAGGTCAGCCTGGGACTGGACCAGAGCAGCTTCAGTATAGGTAAGTTATAGTGACCTTTTCTTTAGAGGTTAGATAGAATAGCTTTAGAATGGGGTGGAGGTAGGTTTAGCATTAGTTAGGAAATGACTGGAATTCCAAATTAAGTAGACACCGCTACTTCAGTGATCCCCACTTGCTGAGTGGCCAGCCTGATGCCTTGTGAATATAGGAGGTTGGCCACTCAGCAGGGGTGCCATAAGAGAATGCTTTTAATTTTTTGAATGAATGCAAAGCATTCTCTGTTTGGAAGAGGTGGAGAGGTCACCTCATCTAATCAGTGAACACTTTGCATTCATACAGAAAATGCAAAGAATTCTCTAAATGGTACTCATGCTGAGCAACCAACCTCCTGTATTTATAAGGCATCAGGCTGGCCACTCAGCACAGGACCCAGAAGCAAGTGGAGATCAGTGAAGTAGCGGTGTCTAATTCAGTGATTTTCAGCTTCCAGCAGCATCAGCCAGGTATGTCATATTCATAGTCACATTGGTCCAACTTGGAACTATGGTCTAGCTATTAACTATGAATTACATGCTAATAACTAGAATTATTCCTTAAAGCATTCCGTTAAGTATTGTAATAAGATAGCTCCTAGAGTTTTGTTATTCCAAATTAACTCTAAAATGGAATTGGGCACCTCATATTGCCACACAAAAAGTGCACCTTCCATTACTGTAAGATTCTGAATGCATCTGAGGTCATGTTTCTCGAAAACCTTTCAAAATTTTGCCAGGAATACCAAGAGCTCACAAAGACAGAGTGGAAGGCCAAGGAAGATCCTTTATATAGGACAGGGAAATTTGGTTCAGGCTCAAAAGTCATTTCCAAGATGAAGTTCAAACTCAATTTATCGAAAATCCCAATCAAGCCTAAGACATGTAATTACAAATGGCAGTGCAGGTATATGGTTTGAAGCAGATAACACTGGCTACAGGAAGTGTATTCACCAGAACAGAATATGGATGAGCTACACAGGTTAACAGGGAGACATGGAGCTTTTCCAAATAGATAGGGTTTTAAAACTGAAGTTTTTTTCTAACAATTAAAGTGCAACTCTGAGATAACTGACCCCACCCCTTCAATCACCTACTATCTGATCACTGGGATGAAAAGGAAATAACTCTAAATCTTCATTTTCACTTACATAAGGGTACAGTCACTTAATCATCCAGCGCTGGGTATTTCCCCCCTCTGTTTCCGGCATGCTGGGGTCCTTCTTCTGGGTTTCCACATCACTGCTTGAGTGACATGTACTATTCTCATTGACTTCGGCAGGAGACTGGTCCTCTTAGGGTCAAGAGGAGATATAATGTTGGGGGGCCAACTGGCAAGGGTTAAAGTACAGCACTGAGCTAGCGGTTCTCTTTGGCAGAAACTGTGTCAGAGAGGGATCTGGATATGGGACTCAGGAGAGTAAAAGTATTTTTGTCAATAAGGACATTGAAATTTATTGCAGGATGAGTTAGTGGGGGGGGTGAGAGGGAGGCATGGTAGGGAGGAAATGTTGAAAGCATGTTGTGTATAGCTATAACTAAGTGAAAAAAAAAATTATTTTGTCAGAAATTCAGAACTGTCCTGTGCTTTGTAAATACTTCCTGAGTTATCTCAACCCCTTGACACCAACAGAACAGAAATATGCGACCTCACAGAACTGGGCTTTTTTCTGTGGGGCCGCATATTTGCGTACCTGTCTTTCTGATGGGAGTGTGCCGCATGGCACACTCCCAGCTCAAAGACCGCAGTATCACTGTGAACACCAGGTCCCATTCTAACGATCGGGACCCGGGACTCCCGATTCCGGGTCACATGATCACTGTGATAGCCTCTGATTTGCTATCACAGTGATCAGTCACTGTACAGCCCGGCCCCTTTGTTTTTTTTTCTCTCTCTATAAATGGAGGCGAGAGATACATTGTATCTCTCTAACTCCTGGCATAGAGGGGGAAAAAAGTTTGTAAAAAAAAAAAAAAAAAGATAAAATAAATAAATATTAAAAAATAAATAAATAATAAAATAAAGAAAAAATATCTAGATCAAGGTTTGATCTAGTTCAGTGCCAGGGTAAGTGTTTGGGTCAAGGTCAAAGGTCAAGGTCAAAAGTTCAGTATTTAAAAAAAATTTGGTATCAGTGTCAGTGTGTTTTAGCTAAAACAAAAACAAAATGTGCGCTATTGTTTCAGGGTTGTACTCCGGGTACAAACAACAAATAACATACACATATATGGTATCGCTGTGATCGTCAAGAGCTGGTGCATTTATTTTGGGTTGTTCTTTGGTGGTAGGTTATGGTAGTAACAAGAAACACACAGCTAAATAAAAAAAATTTTTTTTTTTACTATTTTGGGCCAGTTTTTCTTTGATAATTAAAAAATCAGCAGATATCCATTACCATTTACCACCAAATAAAAGCCCAATCTGTCCTGAAGAAAAAAAAAAAAACAAGGTATATTTCACCTCGATGAACAAAGTAGTTGTGATGCTAAGTATGGTTTTACGAACACATGTCAACATTGCAAAATTGTGCTTAGGCATTTAGATTTTTTTTACCCTTAGGCGTGAAGGGGTTAAGGAGCCCTACTGGTTATCTTGGACTTATTCATCTTTCTACTGGACAGAACAGAACTGGAGGACAGTTTAAGAATTTAGCAAAAGCCAACAGGGCAGGGTTACCACCACCAAGTCTACCAAAATACTGTGTGTTGTAAGCATTCAATAGGAATTAGAGGCTGAGTGCATTTCTGACAAACCAACAAATATTTTCTGTACTTGCAAGGCCTTAGAAAGGATAACACCTGGAATAATGCATGCATTACTGATTTTTTTTTTTAATTTGCCCAGACATACACTTCACTGTTTTGTTTTTATTCTTCCGTCAAGGTAATATAGACATTACTTTACAGTGGCACTGCAGTTTTTGCAAGACAAGACATAAACAAAGAAGCAAGATCAAGGAGAAAACCAGCACACAGATCTCTGGCTAACAGGCAGTTATAGGTAGCCCATCCATTCTGCTAGAGTGACAAGTAGCACATTCCTTTATACAAAGCAGAAACTAACACTCATGAAAAACAGCAAACGACCTTTTAAAATAATCCACTTCTACTAGTTACTGTATCTCTTATCTACTATGACAGCATACAAGTTACCAATTATCATTTGACATTACAGGTGAATGGAACTAGCAAGATGATAGAAAGAATATAAATCCATGAGCCATTGTGGCGTGTGCTTGCTTATGTCACTATATTACAGTTATGTGATAAGTGTGTGTAAGAAAAATGGAAATCCATTGTCTAGATAGATATTCAGATAAGAGTGAACAAAAGAACACAGGCAAACAAATCAAATACATAATTTAACAGACTTGGGATATATAAGGAAGATGGCTAGTATGGCTTCAATGAAAATGATTTACTTGCCCATAACAACGCATCAGAGTTGTAACATTTCCACATGGTGGCTTGATCAGTTGCCATAGCCAACTAATAGGTTTTTCAGGCATACTACACCAGTTGCTAGCACAGTAACTTTATATATTATCTGATGCAACTTACAGGTCTTGTAAGATCATATAGAAGAGATTAAATCGGATGATTTTAATATAACTAGGTCTAAACACGCAGATAAAGAATGAAAACTGAACACTTGAACAATTTGTAGTGAAACATAACAATGACACACAAGCAAACTGTGGCATTTGGCACTACAGGTTTATATCATCATAACCATCAATTGGTGCATGCAAAGGACACTTACAAGTGTTGGGCTTAAGGATGCTGCTGGCAAGGGTTTGTCCTGATGGGCCAGACATGGAGAAGACAGAGATGCAATCATCATCCTGTGAGCAACCTGCTTGGATGGCGCGGAGGTAGCTGTGACTGCGCATTCGAAAACAGCCAGGGAGATCCAAGGCTTCTACGGCATGAGATTCCACTTCACTGAACACGGATTCACATGTAGCTCCTGATTGGTGGTTTATCTCACCCTTAATCTGAAGAGTAAAAGAGACTGGAATCACCATAAACTCTCGTTTCACCACAGGTTTTGATTGCCACAAGGCACACAGTGTCCTACAAATGCATTATCTTTATGTTGCCGGAAATTATTTTATAATGAATATTGTGTAAATAATGGCAAAGTGGTCCTAAAAGATGAAGTTTTTTTACCTTAATGCATTAGGGTAAAAAAACCTTCTGTGTACAGCTCTCCCCACAGCCCCCCTTATACTTACCTGAGCTCCGAATCAATCCAGTGATGTGCATTAGAGCAGCGGCTCTCCTGGATCTTTCTCTCCTTATCGGCTCACACAACAACCAGTGCAGGGGGCGGTGCCGAGCCACACTGTGTGTGTGAATGGACAATGTCTTTTCACAGGAGTGCGGCTCGCAAGCGAACCTGCTCAAGTGTCCCCATAACAAGAGACTTGCCATTGGGGGCACAAAGCAGGAGGGAGGAGTCAGAACTGCCAGCAGGGCACCCAAAAATAAGAGGATCAGGGCTGCTCTGTGTAAAACCATTGCACAGAGCAGGTAAGTATATTATGTTTTGTTTGTTTGTTTTTTGTTTGTTTTTTTACAATCTTTAGAACCATTTTAACATCAAATGAAAACAATATCTTTAAGCCATCTATATTTAGCTTCACTAGAACCATCTCACTTTTTTTTTTAGAAGAGAGTTAATTGTAAGAATACCTGTAATCTGACCTGTTGAAAATCATTTTTTGATCTTGATATCAGTTATTGCTTTAAACGCTAGAGATAATACCTGAATGATTGTTTCATAGTTTCACAAACAAGGGTTCTGCAAGCTTGTTTTTATGAGTATGAAAGTTGCTTCAGGTAATAAAGTAATCATATTTTTGCACATCCAATAATACTGAAATATATAACATGGATGAGGGAAAAAAGAAACTAGTACAATGAATAACCCTACAATCAAAATACAATAGAACCATGGCAAGAAGAGGGGCAATAGCTGGAAGGTTATACCTGGGTTATTATTGTATATTCTTTCACTAAATTAAAGTTTATTACTAGCTACTGTTACTGAAGATCACAATATGTAAGCTCTACAAAAACAAGATTCTCAATCATGTTGTATTTGCGCAGTAATGCCATACACATCTAAATAATGCCATAGTCATCTAAATACCTTAAAATTCTCTCTCACAGGGCTGGGCTTTCACCTTTAAGGTGATATTAAAACACTGGTTTAAAAAATATATTCTATTCATGTACATTTTCTTAACTTCAAAAAGTATCTTCTATTGCTCTCAGCCTACCCCAACTCTCCAAATTTTTTTGCTGCAGTGATCCAACTTCCTGTTAGAGGGTGGCTACGTTCATTCTTCACGGTCCCACTTTATGTAGGCGTATAGCCACCCTCCACAGCTTACTCCCGAGATGGACTATGGGATTTCTAGTGTGCATGGAGCAGTGCACATGACTGCACCTAATGTGCACTGCTCACTCCAAGCAAACAGACATGAGGAGCAAAGAAGAGCTCACAGAGGAAGTTACAAGGAGGCAGAGAAACACAGTAAGTAATAAAGTCATGAAAAATAGATTACAGGGCCATTAGGTAGTAAATCTGTATGGGTTATTTGGAGAACAAGTATATAGTTTAGTGTCGCTTTAAGAAAAAAAATAACAACAGGCCCAATCCTTAGTCCCCATCATTATCCTGCAGCCAACCTACCTCCACCAAGGTTCATACTTAGCTCCTCCAGATTGGATGTAAACAACATGGGCAGCCACTGCCATCAGAGAAGCGACTGTAAGCAAGCACTTGACCAAGGGGTTTCAGCTTAGGACAGTTTGGGGGACTAAGCAGGGCATTTTGTACGTAAAAGGTGAACTTGTCTTTTAAGTGCAGTTAGGGTGATAAAAACAAAGCACAGATGCCTATTTATTTTGAGTTTAGAACATTGAATGTAAATAAACATACATAAATCTGGGACAGAAACAGCAGTTAAAACCATTGTTAGCATAATGCACCTATAGGCCAGTGTTCAAAGCAACAGTACAACTGGGTGCAGCATCAAAAGACAGATGTTTACTTTTCTTTTTTTAATGGTAAGAACAGTAAAACTTGTTTGGAAAGAACACCATCCATGAGGTATTCATAGGGGAGCAGAAAAATGTATATGGAGTCTAAGCTTTATGACATATACTTTTTTTTAGAAAGCTGGAAAAAGTAGATGAACAGAATGAACATGTGGGCTGGAGATGAGAGTATGAAAGCTATTTTCAAGTTTCTATCCACTGGTCGTACAATCATATTAAGAAACAAAAAATTGAAAGGACATCTTGCCCTGTACAAAGATTAATCTTAGTCTACAGCTGACAATACACTATACAATCTCTTTTTAAATCCCACATAAACTATGTAGTGCAAGGGCCTGCCTGACTTGATACAAATAAATGGATTATATAGGTTTGCCCACATATTACAAAGTTTTTTTAAATCTAGCGAAGACTGAACAGAGATTTTACAATTAGTTTGTCCTGAAGTCCTGAAGTCCTTTTTGAAAATACAGATATAACGTGGACCAAAAAACAGCATATTGGAAGCTTCAGGACAATGATGTCAGAAGTAGTAGCCAAATAAACTTGTCCAGTGTCTAATTCTAGGTGATATATCGTAAGTAGGTAACAAGCAGCTAAATGCCCAGTGCATTCATTTATTTTCATTGGCGACCCAGGAGACCTTAAGTCCTGGTTCACACTGACGCAGTGCAGAATTTGCAGTGTTTTCTGTGCGAATTCCGCACTGCATCAGGATCGCACCCTGTTCATGCGAACTGCTGCGGGTGTGTATGTTAAATTAACAACACCCCGAAATCAGTCCAAAAAACGCGGTGCGATGTGCAGAATCGGATCGCATAGGTGTGAATACCCATGCGATCTGATTATAGTGCGGACCCAAAAAAGGGTCCTGCACCCTTTTGGTGCGGATGCAGTGCGATTTGAGCCATACATAATGTATAGCTCAAATCGCACTGCACACAAATCGTATGTGATGTTCACAGGAATACGGTTCTTGTGCGAATCACATGTGGTGTACCGCACCGTATGATTGTTACATAGTTACATAGTTAGCCTGGCTGAAAAAAGACAAAAGTCCATGCAGGTCAACCAAAAAAAAAAAAAAAAAGTTATAATCCTATACCCATAGTTGATCCAGAGGAAGGCAAAAAAAAACTCAGCAAAGCATGATCCAATTGGCTCCTGCAGGGAAATAAATGCCTTCCTGATCCCCCGAGAGGCAATCAGATATTCCCTGGATCAACTCTACCTATAAATATTAGTATCCAGTCATATTCTGTGTATCTAAGAAATAGATACACAGAATATGTCTTTTTTGACAATCCACTGAGTTGTACAGAACCAAATCTTGAGGGAGTCTGTTCCACATTTTCACAGCTCACACTATCAAGAAACCTTGTGAAACTAGCCTGAAGGGTAAGTTCACCTTTAGGAACATGTAACATGTTCCCATAGCTGAAGCCACCACTCACTGCCCCCCCCTCAACAGATAGTACAGGGAGAAGTTCCCCCGTACTATCTGTCAGATTTGAAAACAGCGCGGCTGTGCAGGGTTCTACCCACGCGGCCACGTCATTCATTCAAGAACTTCCATGAATGAATGGACTACAGGTCCTGACAGCCTTAGCGGCTTTCAGCTTGTAGTTTTAAATGAACTACCATGGTGCTGTGGAGCGTCGTGGTAGTTCATTGAATCTTCCTTTTAGTATATATACTTGCTCATACATCCCGCACAGCCAAGCAGATATTCTGACAGGCCTGCAGGAAACCTACATGACATCAGCAATGAACTTATCCTTTAAAGCCAGCATGTCAAATGACGGTTTTCAGTCATTAAGATGGAGCCTTGGCACCCCTATCTCTCAATAGTCTTTAGAGCAGGATGCATTGCAGAGGGAAGCACCAGAGCTCTAACATCAGACCTGGAAGTCATATTGTTAATACTGATATAAAGGGGCCTTCCAAGACACTGAAAATGAAGATGGGAATGTGCATGTGTCTGTTTTGTATCTCCTTATGCTAGCTGAATACTTTGGACATATTGCTGGTTAATACATAGTATATGGATTACATCAGGTTTAATGTACTGTAGATTCTTGCCAAAATTTTCAGTGAGCATATGGTACAAAGATAGACAAGTGAAATCTATCTATAAATAGATTGTTTTGTTGGATTATTTTTGTCATTATCAAAATCGAGAAATATTATTGGGTTCAACCTTTAAAAATGATATAGTGTATGGAAAATATATCAATTTCACCCTCGTGTTTATGGAATGTTCATGCTTCACATGGACATGGGCCTATGTAGAATAATGTAAAAAATGAGCACCATGTGTGGCCACTAAATATTTCTCAATACGGCTTAATGAAATGAGCCTGAACAAGGAAAAAAATGTGTGATTGTGAAAATCTTTCTGTGTTTTGTTATATGTAATCTATACTGTGATTCTTCTCTCATGGCAGAGAAATAAGGTAAAAGTGATTATAGATTACATTTAGATATTTCAAGGCTCCTAAATTTAAATTAAATCTGTGCTGAGAGAAATACGAAGGCTTCCACTGCTGATCACCTTCTAAGGAGTTTGAGTTCTTCTTGAGTTACTGACTATGACTTCAGTACTTTCTATAGTACTAACTTCAAACAATTTTGAAGATTAGTAAATCCTAGATGTTAAAGTGGTTCTAAAACCTAAATATTTTTCACCTTAATGCATTTCTGGCGTTAAGGTAAAAAATTTTTAGGTAGCAGTATGCACAATCCCAACCGCCCCCCCCCCCCCATAGTTACCTGAGCCCTCACTCGATTCAGTGCTGTGCCTGTCTGTAGATGCTCTCCCCACTCTTACAAGCCTTGCTAAGCCATTGGCTCCTGCTACTGTCAAATCCTGTGATAAAGAAAGGGGGCTGGGCTGGGCCGCACTGTCTGTGTCTATGGAGATAAG